TTGTATATTCTACATGGAATATAAAATTCCATCAGTGAGCAAGGGTACAAAGCATTACACTTAATTTCAAGAACTTCCCTGCTATTAGTGCACAAGTGATCTCTCAACAAGGAAGAACAGTCATCTTTATATCTGGATAATAGTTCACTATGTCAGTGAAGGCTGTATGAGGTCACTACTTAATATCATTAAGACAGCAGAAAATATAATAGATGGAGTTTCTGAGAAGCTGAGTGAGTGGAAATTAGGACAAAATCCTAGTATGGGGGTGTTGAGTAAACAGTAAACTACCTATTGTGGGTGGTATGTAAATAGCGAATTACCTAGTATGGGTGGTGAGTAAATAGTGAATTGCCTGGTGTGGGTGATACATAAATAGCAAATTGCCTAGTGTAGGTGGTAAGTAAATAGTGAGTTACCTAGTGTGGGTGGCAAGTAAACAGTGAATTACCTAGTGTGGTTGATACATAAATAGCAAATTACCTAGTGTGGGTGGTAAGTAAATAGTGAATTGCCTAGTGTGGGTGGCAAGTAAACAGTGAATTACCTAGTGTGGTTGATAAATAAATAGCAAATTACCTAGTGTGGGTGGTAAGTAAATAGTGAGTTATCTGGTGTGGATGGTAAGTAAAAAGTGCATTACCTAGAGTGAGTGGTAAGTAAATTGTTAACTAGGCTGGATGTTAATTAAATAGTGAGTTATCAGGGTGTTAAATAAGCAGTTCTTCAAATAAGCATTAAAATATATTTTAACTTACCATCAGTAATTAACTTTTTGGCTGTCTCTTTAGGAAACTTGATGAACATATTTCCAAAACAAACCAAAGATTTTTTGGGCATTTGGTCAGCCTTAATTTCTTTATCTAGTGCTCTAGAAAGAAAAATATAGTTAATATCAACACTTTTATAACACACATTCAAGAATGAGAAGTTCTAATATTTCAAAATTATATAACAATATGTAGAACACTTATAAAACTACAGGTTTAGCCACGAAAACGTCATAAAATTTTTCATTAAAGCATATAGTTCCAAGTTAGGTTTGTTAGTAACTGTGTACCTTATTATATTGTATATGCCAGGATTACAATATTATTTTACCAATTTTGTAAACACTTTTTTTATAGAAAAATAAAATGTTTTTCTACCCGTATAACATCAAACTGATATGTATTCAAAGAACAGTAAAGGTACATAGTATTCTCAAATCTCTTATTAGTATACACACAAAATACTCAAACTGGAAAGGAAAAATACACCCATCCAAATATGTTTATTTAATATAATCGAATGGAAATTGTATATTTTTCATTACATATTTTCATTGTATATTCAAAATACTTGCTTTTTTTTAGTTGTATCATGCTCATTACTAACTACAAACAGTAAGTGGCAGAAAGCTACAAGACGTTTTTTTTTATTGAAACAAATTTACAAACACTGATAGATGGTGTGTACACTGACTTTGTCATTGAAAGCGTGATATTTCTGCCAAATTTGTGTAAACTTTATTTCCTTGAAGTTCTAGGCAGAAAATTAAAGCTATTTTGTTTGCTTGTTTACCTGAATGACACCTCATCAACATGATGGACTGAATGGCCAGGCCAAAGACCCCTAATGTTTAGGTATAGCCTTCATTAATTTTGAAGTGCAGACCAGATAGACAGTATCTGCCACTTCCTGCAGATTCTCTTAACCAAATGACAAGACTAACTATCACTTGTAAAGGGAGGGGAGTGAGCTAGTCGTTTGATGTTTGACTTGAACACCAGTTACAAATAAGTTTATTTTAAATCCATGTATACAGTCACGAGTGGAGTAACAAGTCACCAACTTCAGGAGGTTTGCAGTTAGAAGACTGAGATACAAAATAATATACAACACTTTAATTCAAATCTACAGTACCAAAACTACCTTAAAAAACTTCTACGTTAAAAGCATCAAAGTCTTCATTCTGATCGAGCAACTGTTCATTGATCAAACCTTCACTAATGTTCATCAAATCTGACACTATGGCAAACAAATTATCAATTAAAACATTATGTGAAATACATTCAGACATATTTCAACTTTTGTACCGGGTTAACACTTCCAAAATATCTCTCAACAAATCTATTACTTCTGCAATAAATCTTACTAAATCAATAAGGGAATTCTCTTTTAACATATTATCTGCACACATTATACATCATTCCTAACTATGCTGTTAGACTTGAGAGGATAGCAATAATTTCTTGCATAGTTTGTACGGTGGAGAGTAGTCAGGTTCTGCAACACAGCCATGGTTTCTTCAAGCAGTGTCTTGATCAGCCTTTTAATTTGTTGTTGGAGAACTGACTTTGGTCTAAAAACATGACTTTTTATTCACATTTTCATTTATTGATACAATGATTCAAATAGCACTACATGCTTACTTTGCATGTAGATCCTCCATCTAATTGGTTTGATTTCATTGTTTTATCAATCCAAAACCAAACTAGATAATTGTTTATTTTCATAAACTGTTAATTGGCATCCCATTTACATGTATTTCTCAACATCTTCCTTCTGCTGGTGAGTTTTTTTTTATAGAACTCACCTTTAGTTAGTGTCAATAGTATAGCCTTTCTCTGTGCTATGACAACGTCTGTTTAATGTTGATAAAACAAACTGCTGGTTTCTACTTAACATATTGTAGCTTGGAATGCATTAAAATTGACTTTAACATTTCCTTATTTGGACAATAGTTTCCATGTAACTTCTATTATACAGTCGTTAGTTGCATGTCTTTTCTTCACTTGACGTGTCTCATACATGAATTTTCACGAAACATTCTGTTTTTCATTCACAAAAGCATTTGTAATTCTCACAGAATGCCTCAAATGCTTTACACTTTTATAATGCACCCACAGTTGAAAGTGCAAAATGTGTTGTAGTACAATATCAAGAACCTAAAACCCTCAGATATCCAATTTAATATGCCATTTACTAAGCCAAGTTCAAGCCAGAAAACAAAGAAGTAAATGTTATCATTTTCATTACCTGAAAATGTATTTCCTATAGGTACCTCTCCACAGAACTGCCAAAAAAAGTTTTTTCACATGCACCAAGTGTTTTATTGAAATTCCCACTGATACACATAATAGTGTGTACTGTGCCAGTAGGTTGTGCAATGAGCATTAGACTATACATCTCCACCATTAGGAGAGAGATACACCTTCTGCGTGCAGTACTCACATTTAAGCATACAAAGGTTCATTTTTGATAAGATGATGGAGTGCCAGTGTAAATGAAGAAAATTAAAAAGATGAGCTTCTTTCTGAGAATATAACAACTAAAAGTGAAAACACATGGAGCATGTTACCTACTAGGGAAAGGGACAGAGTGCAACGTCACTCAGTGACAGACCACATCCATCTCATACTGGGAATACTCTTCTTCACCCAGTAGAGGTGGTAGTGCAGAAGATAGTGTTAAAATAAACCATGTGTGATGCTAAAGTATTGCGTAGGTGGATGGAATGTAAAAACTGCTCAACTGACCAGAAGGTTAGCAAAGAATGCATGTATAGTGAAAGCAAGGCAAAAAAAATCAGGCAATACAGTATGTAAGAAATGTTTAATGGAATAAGCAGGTGCAGGGACAAATCATCCCAAATCTTCATCCTGAAGAGAATGCAAAACCGAACTGGCTGGCATAACCACTGGGGATGATCTAGTTCTTAGTGTAAGGGGATGGGCTGTACTACACTTCCAGGTAAACACCCTAGCCCTATTTCCGAATGGGGGTGTGTCCACTCAGTTTTATACTATTGGGATTATACAGATCCAAAGGAGAACTCTCCAACTTCCCCAGCAGCTTGGGACTGGGGAAGCAAAGACTCTTCCACTATTCCACTACAAGAAAATTGGAGGGCAGGGTTTGCATAGAAAAGAACACTGGAGAGGTGCACAAACAGGAATTTTCTAGCATCTGCATGTCTCACAGTGATAGACTGTGCAAGGATTAACACAAAAATGGACAGTAGGTACTAGGTGAAGGTAGGATCACACCTAATGCTGTCATTTTCTTTTCTGAAGTACAGCTTGGGAGGTAATACACACACACAAACTGCTGACATTCTTATGTAAAATTCCATCTCAAACATGAGCACTGATGCAGATGGGCTTAACATTTTCTTTTATTTCCTACACTATGCAAACTTAAGAGACAAGATCAGTCACATGGTTGATTTCATTGTCTCTCCAGTACATGGGCACATAGATATGGTAATAGTGATTTGGGAGCTGTAGAAAAAAAATGGATTAATCAACAACTCATCTCTTTAGAGCCTTTGGGAAGACTGTGGTATGGTGACTGGAAGGAGACAAAACCCAGAGGCAGATGAAACTGCAATTTGGTGCAAGTTATAGGACAAATGTGTCAAAGGCCATACACATCTTTCCCTGCAATATATCCAGCTAGAGGAAAGAGAAGCCATGAAAGGAAGAACTTGAGTTGAGGGGACATGAAAATGATAATGTTTATCCCAACCAGTCAAAATGGAAGAAAATGAGAAGAAGAGGAATCTCATAGCAAGAAAATACTATTTTGTTCACCTTTAAAGTGAAAGGTATGAGAAAGATAACCCTGAATTGCCCCAAAAGGACAAAGGTTTGTTATGAATTTTGCTCAAAGCTACACGAGGGCTATCTGCACTAGCCATCCCTAATTTAACAGTGAAAGACTAGAGGGAAGGCAGCTAGCCACCACCAGCTCTTGAGCTACTCTTTTTATCAATGAACAGTGAGATTGATTGTCCCATTATAACTCCCCCATGGCTGAAGGAGCGAGCATCTTTGATAGGACAGAGATTCGAACTCGCGATCTGTAGATTGCAAGTCGAACATTGTAATCAGGATCAGAAGAGGAGTTATTTGTACAGAGAAGAAAGGGAAGGGAAGGTGATTGGAGAAAACAACCAATCACCTACCTCAGCAGCCCAAGTCTTTGGAAAGAAGGAACAATCTGAGAAGAAAATCCACCTGTCTCTGTGAAGAAGAATGCTGGAACTATCCAAAACAAAAATATCAGAGCAATGTCTCCTGCAAGCAAGGAGAAGAAATACATCATAAGAGAAAGGCTGTGTAGGAAACAGATTGTCAAAGTTTAAAATGGAAGACTTGTAAGTTCCTTGATAAACTAAATAGAAGTTCCAGTCCTGAAGAGGAGGAATACTAATACAAATTACAGAAAAGGTTCATAAGAACTAAAGAGAAAGAGGAATGGTCACCAACAAAGCTGCACTGTATCTGGTGATCAAAGAAACAGAATGATTGCTCTACAAAGTCAGGAATTGGAGAACATACCAGCATCAATAAACACCCATCTGCATTGATAAACTCTAAGGGTGGATAGCCAAAAATAGTGAGCAAAAATATGGGCTACTCTGCAAGAAAAACCTGCTGATTTTGCAAAGGACCAGATAAGAACTATACATGAAGATGAAAGTGTAGGATATTATGGTGAAAAACACATGTCAAGGCTGACATCAAAAGGGGCCTCCGAGAAGGAAGAGAAAAAAGCCATAGAATCACCAAGTGGTAAAGAAGCAGGTATCACAATTGAGCTGGCCAAAAAGGAGCAAAGAGAAAAACCCAGAAAGGGGTGCTATGAATCAAATACAACACCCTGAGAAGAAGTTGATGAGGAGAGGCATACAGAAAGATGGTGGACCAATCCAGACTCGGAGGGAATACTTGGTGTAGCACAGTTGCAAATGTATCAATAAATGGATTTCCAAAGTGGGAGAGGTAAAGATCACTGTTTGATCCATCATCAAATTCAAAGCTCCCAGAACATGGAAGGCCAACAACTAGATGTCATAGTCATAAGCCCAAAAGTGAAGTTTGA